GGGTGGTAGTAATCCAGTCCTCGTGACACCTGTCCCTTCTCATTTACCCTTTCCAGGTTCCCAAAATCGGTATAACTCCCGACTTGGTCTAAATGATTTAGACAAAGTCTGTGGAGTTTTTAGAGGAGGGTTTCCTCTCGGTTGACAGGAGGTCGGAAGGTCGTTTTGTGAGTCTGTCGTTAGGGCGAACTGAGACTCTGTTGACACTTCTACAATGTATTTCGTCAGTTTAGTGAAGGACCACGACGTCTTTGTTCGACGGTCCACAAAATATACAATGAAGTTCCTCACATACCATAGCGAACAACATACAGACAAACTGGTCAATAGTTTCTTCCTGAAACTCGTGCAAGGTTTGTTAGAGTTTCGGCCCCCAGTTCCGACCCAGTTCCTAGTATGTAGACAAAAGGAGTTTCTGTGTGGAATGAGGACAAGAGTAAGGTTGTGTCGTGTGTGTGTGTACGTCGTACGTGTGTGCTGTGTGTGTGTGTGTGTGTGTTGGTGTGTGTGTGTGTGTGTTGGTGTGTGTGTGTGTGTGTCGTGTGTGTGCGTGTGTGGTGTGTGTGGTGTGTGTGTGTGTGTGTGTGTGTGTGTGTGTGTGGTGTGGTGTGGTGTGTGTGTGTGTGTGTGTGCGGTGTAAGTGTCCCGACCATGGTGAGAAGGTGTAGGTAATGGTTGTGTGATGCTAGTATACATCAACGTATGTACATAAGGTTACCGAAGTCCCCCGGGTAATATGTTGGTCCCGGGTCGGTTTTTACTGTGCCGTACAATTAAAGTTACCATTTTACAAGTTAGACCACTATTTTGGTCATTTTTCCTGTTTAACTTAATAAAAGAGAGGTTATATTTTCGGGACTGTAAATGTTTTACCAATACTAAATACTGGCCCATACCGCCTCCTCTAGCTTTTATACACCAATATTACCCTCACCTACCCTCGCCTGCTCACGATTTACACACGCAACAACACCACACACTTAGAACTAAGACCACGCCGCGCGTTTTGTCTGGACTTAGTTGGTTTTATTACACAACGATTAGAAACTGCTATGCAAGTCCTTCGTGACACTATTTTTTAAATTTTTTGTCTGGGGGGGTTGTAAGAATATACCTTTTCCTTGTACGTACCACAAAAGTATCTTTCTCGTTTAAGTACAAAAGTTTGACCGTCAAGTTCCCAAAGATTTTAAGACTTGTATTCAAATTCTAAACCATAAAAACTAAGTCCTGACTTCAACCTACTTTCTAAATTGGGTTTTTCAAAAAATTTATAATTTAGACAACACGTAAAATATCGTCCAAAAACCTTCACTTGTAAAGACACAGAGGGGCTTACCTTGATTATACATTGAAAAAACAAGTTAGGCTAAAACACGTTTTTGATTATTAACGTTTTTTTAGATAAAACGTAAAAACCGTTAGGTTAGTCATAAAACGTCACCTGTAAAAACAGAGCTTACTGATTAAACGCAATGCAGCTAAACAAGTGTGCACTTAATTTCTGGCTAAACTTCTTAAAACTTTAACCTTAAGCGTTTTTTATCTAGCTCCCTTTTATCGGAACAATATTTTTAGTCCGGGTAAACGTGGTTGGTGTTGGTTTCAATAACGTTTTACTTTTCACTTTTTACTTGGGTATACCTGTTTTTTGCCAGGTGTCACATATGGCCTTCCAATTCTTTGATTTTTTTTTTTTTCTTTTTATATAAGTGGTGAGACATGTTTTCACAGTACGTGGAAGGGGTTCATACAGTCGTACGTAAAGACTTGGATGTTCACGTTTGGTGTCTTTGTTAATCCAACTTGATTAATAATATTACCGTTTCAATCCATAATATTGATCTCGTGAGAAGTGTAATAGTCGAACTCGTTAACGTGATAGGAGGTAATTACACGATCATAACACACTAAGTTGTCAAGGACGTCATTACATACGTCTGTTTCTAAGTTCACCCCGACGCGATTTCACCGACTTGAAACTGGCTTACCGAACACAACCGGCAGTCGAACACCTAAAGTTCGTAAAAACGAACAACTTACATTGTTTCATAGAAACTTTGTAGAAAATAGAACGTCGAATTAGGGGACCTCGTTCCCGTGATAAAGCGATGGTTCAACGGTATTTATTGGACCAGTCAGAAGAGTGGAGGGACAGTGTCTTGTGCACAAGTACCCACGTACGTGAGAGTGTGCTACATATGTGTAGACAGGGATGTGAAGAATGAGCGTTTTCAACACACGCACACACACACACAGGTTCGACCCCTGTCAATCTCGTCCAAGACGTCTCGTCTCTACCTACAGTGCGTGTTATAGTCCGTCCTCGAGGTCCTGGAGGCCGGAGGGGAGCACGGGAGGGGAGACGGGCAGGAGGAGACAGGTGTGTCGCTCTTTGGTGTGTAGACGGGAGTCGTTTTTATTTATTAGGTACTTAAGTAGGGACGAACGTTAACCTGGTGTTGGTTTTTCACAAAAACGACATTTGACGTCAGTACGATACAGTGCGTGTCCACTAGGGGTATTGAGTAACTAAAATCCGGATCAGTAGTGGAAATTCAAAAAAGCAATTATCAGGAAATATAAAGAGGTGACCGACCCGTCTTTACGTAAATTAAATTTCGTTCCGACTCTTCTCGTGGTCTGTCGAATTATCAAACCCTGGTTTGTCGACAACCTGTGTAGTTCCGTGAGCTCCGCTAGTTTCTGATACCAAAATAGACGAGACAAAAATTAAGACCTTTGCGAATTTGAGTGGTTGTTTTCTGTGGGGAAGTGATATCACGCTTTATACGAAACCAATTCGTACTACGGTTGGTAAGAGACACAACTGTAAAGATACATCGTAAACAATTCTCTTGTCAGGTTCTATTTTGGAACTCGCTATTTAGTTTTCTAGAAAACTCTTTTTTGTGAGTTTAACTTAAGGATTCTAGTGTGACGGTCGGGGAGAGACGAGGCAGGAGAGAGGTGAAGAGGGTGTAAGGTCAGTCTCTCCTTCAATGAGTGGGTCCTCTGTAAAAACAAGAACCCGTGAGAACTGTACCGAAGGTCTACCCTCTCCAGTTACCGGGCCGAGGGTTTTGGGAGTCGCAGGTGTGTGTGTGTGTGTGTGTGTGTGTGGTG